AAATAAACTAAATTTTCCAGAAATAAAATATGAATATAACTTTAATTCCAAATTTATAACATAAATTATTAATAAATAGTACTGTTATCCTGTTAATGATTGATACCAATCAAGTTTTTGCACCCATTAAAAAGTTCACATTAACAACAGGTTACTTCATTTATTAAAAATTTTGTTGATAATACATTTTATTCCTTTGCAAAATGAATTTTTCACTGAAAAATTATAATAAAATCCCTTTTAATTTTGTGTATAAATTTTGACATGATCTTTATAATTTTCATCTGTGTGTGACATCTCCTAAATCTATTTTTGGATGTCAGATTTACATTATGTAAGTATACAACTTAGCATATTGATTATTAATCATTTTCTTTTCTTGTCGTGAGAAACAAAGAGAATTTTCTTGACTAAATCTTTTTAAAATTATTTATATTTCATTTTCTTTGTATCATTGATTGTGTATATTGTGTAAAGATCCTATTTACTCTATTTTTCACTTTGTTTGGTTGTTTGAAAGACTTTACAGCTTCCATTTTCTTTTAAAGAAGTCATTATTTAATAAAGAGAGTGTTTTTCAATTTCACTTCATTAATCACATGACTTTATTTATATATAATTTAATTGGTTAGTGGTTGATGATATAACTGATGTCATGTGATTTGTAAGTTTGACTGAAATTTTGTGACATAACATTTATATCAAATTTAAACTTTTCGATAATTTCAAATTTTGATTGGTCGATTATGACACATGACATGTAATCTCATGTGACTTTTTGATGATATCATCATGTTTTGTAATTATTGTAGTATTCTCTTTATTTAATTCTTTCTTTGGCAATAACTTTTTTTCTTCTTGATAATAAGAGGTAAAAAATCCCATTTCATCCACAGAGGGAGCACCAAAAAAGTTGTTACCATTTTATATGAGTTCTTGGAAGAACTGGTGAGTGCTTAATAACGTTATAATAAGTTACTTGATCAGAGTAATTATAGTAAAGTTTATTAAGAATGACGGGTGAAAGAATATAATATAATCAAATCTTTATAATACATCAAGCATTAAACTATGATTATAAATGAATTTAAAGGAAGATAATAGTATATTCATGATGTGATTAGCTAGAATAAGATCTGGAATTTTTAATAATAGTGTTTAATTAAAGGATTTTATGTAATAAATATGTAATTTTATTATAAGATCATAATTCAATAATAATAAAGTATAATTTTATTATTAAACAAAATTATCATTAATTTATTATATGTTTTTAATTATTATTTATTATTCTTGAAGTTCTGAGAGCTATTGAATCTAAGAGCTAAACTAAGTTATTGATTTAAGTTAAGATACAAACTATATTTATATAAGTTATTGTTATTCAATTTTCAAATATTAAAATTATTTTTGATTGATATTAAGGTTACAAAAAGTGCTTACTTTTTAATTACACATTACTTGTTCGCTCGCTTGCTTTAATATTACATAAATTTCATTATTAATATCAATCAAATTTTATTATATAAATCAATAAACGAATCTAAGAACCAATAATATCTAATATATAATTGTCCAATAAAATAACAACTATCTAAAAATAACTATCCAATAAAATATAAATATGAAATTAACCAATAGAATATAATAAAATATCATTCAATTAAATTTATGATATGAATTAATCAATAAAATATTCATATTATATTGCATATTTGAATTAATACAATAAAACTTTTGTATTTATAATATTTTTTAATAAAAATTCTATTTTAGAACTAAAAATAATATGTTAAATATTTTATAATATCAAGCATTATATAATATTTACAATTTATTATTAATAATTATATTATTGGATTTAATAATAATTTTTTTATTATAATATGATTTTATTATAAATGTGACTTAAAAAATAAAAATTGTAACTGTAAAGATATTTGATCTTTATATAAACTTTGGTTATGATATATTAATATGTATTTGATTTAATTATTAATATAAAAATAAGGGTTCGATTTGTTGGAACCATGCTCCCTATTTATTAATGATGTAGGGACAAAAAAGTTAACCCTGAACTCTTTAGGTGACTCTAAGAATGAGAATTAGATCAACAAATTTTATTGGTTGATCAATCTCGATCATCAGATTTTTCTTTATTTCATGGCCTAATTTTTTTCGGATGCTCATCTGCATGTGATCAGGACTTTTTTGACTAAAAGAAAAGAAGAGTTCATGCAATCACCAAGATTGATGAAAGCCTCATTCCGAATCGATTTAAATTCTCGTTCCTCATACGCATTAGAAAAGATATTTCTCTTAATCAGATGGTTGACAAAAGCGAGAATCAGCAGTTTTATGCTTCTTTTATTATAACAGGATTCGTGAGCAATCTTTGAACAGAAGACGTGGTTTACATAATCTGTTCTCATGAATCATTTTAAGAGAGCCTTCAGAGTGTCGGGTTCTGAAACAGCTGAATGATGGTATCATCGACTTAGTATTATCCGATTCACGAGGACAACACCTATTCTCTCATACTAAGCGAGAAATATACTATCCTTCATGCTCCAAAGTTAATTGCTTATCGAGTTATCTCACATAACAAATTTATTCTTCATTAAAAGCAATGAGATCGAGGATACAAGATAACCCGAATTATACATTTTATTATGTATATTAAAATTTTCGTGTTTGTTTTACACAAGATGAAATTCAACAAGCTTTTCAAAAAGTAGATTCAGCAATTTATAAAAATATTGATACTGGTATTATAGAGAATGAAGAAATTTATAATATAGATGATTCTGAACAATTAAGTTTCTAAATTAGAAGAATACGATGAAGACATCATTTCTTGTAACCAATTAGTTTGAACTAACGTCACATATTTCATATAAGGTCTAGACGTTAACACCTGCATATCAAAAAAAAAGTTAATTGATCAATTTGATTATAAATAAATCAAACCACAAATTATCATTAAATTCTCACCAATTCAGTATACATGACAGCTTCAACTTTTTTATTACACATCACTGAGGATGGGTGTATGCTTACACACTAATAAAAAAAGTAAATCGGTTAATCTTTTATTATGAAGAATTTTTTAACGTTTTAATTACTTGCCTGATTGCCAACAATCGTTTTATACGTGTTGTTAGGCTGTAACATTGCTGTATTACGAATGAATCCGTTTAAAAGACATCTTATTAATCGATCATAGTCGATTCCACAAGAAACTGTATTCGAGATACCAATTCGATTACATAAGGGTATGAGTTGATTTTGTACATCCTAACAATTAGATGGGAGGTATCATTATTATTATTAGCTGTTTCTCAAAGTAGAACTAAATATAAATATTTTTAATATGTTTCTCACCAATACAATTTTCATATTACGCTTATTTATAAAGTTTTGTCGACACCATTGTGCATTCCCATTTTGATCTTGATACCCATGCAACACATTTAACAAGGTAATCAAATCACCGAGTGGTGATGCGAACTTTTTCTTGGTTTCGGTAGCTTGATCACGTTTATCTTGTGGCGTGAAGAAAATTGAGTCAACAGAAAGAAGTGAAATAATGGAAATTGCCTCTCGTGTACAAGCCAGTTCCTAATTAACAAATTAAAAGTAAATACTAGAAAACAAATGAAACACGATCCGATAGTATGTATACCTTTGACGCCAATAAAACTCTTGCGAAAGCAGGCTCAAGAGGAAATTCAGCCATTCTTCTACCAAGATCTGTTATTATGCCTTTATTATCAAGTGCCTTCAGAAGGTATAGCTGTTCTAATGCTCTTGTTACTGGCAAATATTTAATATACATTAGTTAAAGTATATTTTTGCGTTTATTACAAGAACAATAACTTACATGAATTTCTTGGTGGAGAATCAAGATACTCAAAATCAAGCACATTATCAATTCCTAATGCCTTTAGCAATAAAATAACTGATGCAAGATTGCATCGCTTGATTTCTGGAACTGTATCTTCTTCCATCTTTTGAAATTCTTCTTCGGTATACAAACGGTAACAAAATCCAGCCGCCTTAAATCGTAGAGTATTTTATTTTAACTATATTCAAAACAGTCCCTATATATCAATAAGAATTACCTCTCTTCCTGCTCGGCCCATTCTTTGATTAGCAGAGTTTCTAGAAATATTTTGAATTGATAAGCTTTCCATGCCAATTTTCGAATTAAATTTCCGCATTTTAAATTTTCCAGTATCAACTACATATCGCACTCCACGGATAGTAATTGAAGTTTCTGCAATATTCGTAGCTAATATAACTTTCCGGGAGCCAGGAGGTGCAGGATCAAATACTTTGGTCTGCTGCTCAGATGGAAGTGCAGCAAATAATGGACACGATATTATCTGGAATTTATAACATTATTTATTTAACATTATTATGATTATATTTTCATTGATAAGGCTGTTTGTTTACCTTTAATTTATCAGGTGGTAGTGTAGTACCATAATCATTTATTAACTTTTCGAGTGTTTCTATATCTTCTTGTCCTGGTCAACGGAGAAAACAAATGCTTATTATATATGGAACGTCTTAGACATCAATTTTATTATTTACCAGGCAAGAAAATTAATATATCACCCGGAGGTTGTTCCGTGTGAATTTGAAATGTTGTTATTAGTGCAGCATCTAAATAATCATCTTGAGGCTCAAGGGTATTATGCACGGTGACAGGGAATTGACGACCAGGTATGGATAATATAGTGGATCTATAACAATTTCAATGATAACGTTAAAACTCATTTAATCCCAAAAATATAAAAACACCTCGAATTTCTTACGTATTAAAATAGTTCGCAAATTTCTTCGCGTCTAATGTTGCACTCATGATTATAATTTTCAATAATGACACTCCTTTTTGGCTATCATCGATCATTTTACTCCTAATCGCCTGTGCTCTTTTCACCATTCCAAAAAGTATATCAGTACGAACCGTTCGTTCATGTGCTTCATCAAGGATCACGACAGAATAATTTTTCAGCAAAGGATCCATGAGTAATTCGCGTAATAGCATTCCATCAGTCAAATACTTTATAAGTGTGGATCGAGACGTGGCATCGTCGAATCTCACAGAATATCCTACCTAATCTCAATCAAGATATTCAGAATGCGAAAATAAATAGAGTAATAAATGAGATTTAGATTAAATTTACTTTGTGACCAATTGTTGTTCCGACTTCTTGAGCAACGCGCTTTGCTAAACTCATTGCGGCAACTCTTCTAGGTTGAGTTATGGCAATACAACAACCTTTTGATGCCATGCCAATTTCCATCAGAAATTGTGGAATTTCTTAAAAAAATCAGATTCTTTTAATAAATCGTTATAATTTGTGAAAAAATACATTGACAATACTAATTTCCTACATACGCGTGCTTTTCCCACTTCCCATTTCACCAATGATCACAATTGTATCATTGTTTCGAATGCTATCAATTATCAGATTACGTTCTTTTCTACCAAAAAATCTTAATTAATTCTACTTTCTTCAAATAATTGTCCTTATATAATCAAGATATACCTTTCCAAATAGGAAGTTCTTTACGAAAAGATTTCAAATTTGTCGCGATTTGTATTAATTTCGTTTGATCATCTTTTTCATGTTTAAGTTTTTTGTTACTTCCAAGCTTTTCAATTTTTTGATGCAAGGTATTATTATCATCAAAATCTATTGTGCGCTTAATAGGTATTTTAGATTGTTTTGATTCTTTTGATTTTTCCGAAATTTGACTTTTTTTCAAAGAAGCCATCAATCTGGGTGAAATGTGCGTGATCCAATATTTCCAAGATCACATGCTTAATTAGCAATTGATTGATTGGATGAGATTAGCATGGTTATTGAATACAAATTACAATTGTCTTTAATTTTATTGAAATATCATTTGTTTTTTGCAAAAAGATAATAATTTCCTAATAATTACGAACAATGATCGTTCAAACACAATAAAAATTACTAGGTTTTTTCACAATAATCAATGATCATTTAATAGAAGCATTGACCACAGTAGGAACGGTGCATACACCTTTGTCTGTTCTTAGTAAATGAACACTTTGATCCGTGCCATCAGTCCAGGATGCTTCTTTATTACTAGTAGTAATCAAACCAGGCTGCAATGTCTCCCAAACTTTTTTCTTAGGATTAAGTTGTGGTTCAGGAGACCCCTCTTTAATGACGATAGAGATGACAAGAGTAAGACCAATGAAAGATAAAATATAAAATATAGAAGAGAAATTTTTCTCTTAATCAAACCTTTATAGCCTTCGAAATATACACGTTCACCAGGTTGAGAGCCAGCTGGTGGTTCGACTAACTCAACCTTGCCCTCCAGTGATGTCGCAGCAAGAACCATAGCAAATGATTTTATGCCACGCATTCTAAAAATATATAGCAAATAACTTTAGCCATAACTTATGGCCATACAAAAAACCTCGTAATATGAAAACTAAGCTTACGCTGCTGGTTTTAAATTACATACTAATACTACATCACGGTCCTACGAGTTATATAAAGCATTAGTATAAAAATGCTGCGAGACGTTATAAATAAAAATTAAAAACTAACCTGCATCTGATCAACTGGTATGTGATTTACTAGACCACTAACCACAGTTCTAGGTTCATTCTCACCGACATTAATTTGTTCGACATACAATGAGTCAGCATCTGGATGTTTTTCAACCTTAACAATATGTCCCACCCGAAGATCAAGCAATGATGGCACTATAGATATTGGTGCAGCAGCAGCTTGTTTACCACCTTTCGCGGCATCCTTTTTCTCTCCGCCCTTTTTGGGAGCTTTTTCAACAGCTTCTTTTCCCGGCTTTTTATTCGCTTTATTTTCTCTATCGCCTTTTGCAGGTTCATTTTCTGCTGCTGTAGTTGTTGACGATCCTGCTTGTTTTTCCGGCTTCGGTTTTCGTGGTTCAACTTTTTTTGCGACCTGAAATTTAATGTGAAAATTCAGATAATAGCTAATAATTAAAGAGAAGTTAGTTTATATTTTACCCTTGGTGCTTCCAAATCAATCTCTATTAAATTTAACCCTGCTTTAGGTCCTGCTTCAACGGCTGCTGTGTGTTGAATAAAGTCAAACCATCTTGTCAGATTAGGGCTCTCGAATCTCTTTTGAGTTGGTAAACCTGCCTATTAAATCATAAGTTACCATCACATCCTTTTAATCAATACTATCATCTTCCACGTACCATATATCCATGAATTCGAGCAAACGTGGCCAAATCTCCAGCTGATAACTTGTTTCCAACAAGATAAGTTCTCGATGCCAAATGTTCATCGAGTTTCTATGATACAAGTTTAAGTAAGAAACTATCTAGATCAACATAAAAAATATGGATTTACGTACTTTCGCAATTTCTGTTGCATTTTTATCAATTGTAGTTGTATCTTCCAGCCATTTTTTCAACTTTAATGAAATGGCTTTTATTAGCATAAAGAGGGATACGGATAAATGGTAAGTAATTATCGCAATTAACTACCTCACCTCACCCGTCTCAGCTTCAATCGTAGTTAGTTCACGCGCGTAAGTTTCCGCTAAGTGTGAAATTAAGTTATTGGAACCATTTATAGAGTTTCCGTCTGAATGCGTAAGTTTTGAAGTCTTTTATAGTAAGGAATGCTGTCAATACCGAATAACAATGCTATTAAGAAAAAGTTAAAATTTAATGGCAAACCTCAACATTCGACTCGTTTACTGTAATATTAGTAGTAATTGAAGAAATATAATGATAGCACAATTTAGTCGCGTGGTCGTGAGTCGCAAAAGTTAAAGCAGCCATTGAAATTTCAATATTATTATTTCTTGCTATTTATAGCATCTAAGCCACCTCTCAATATCTTTATAAGTCCCGAAAAAAAGATATTCCGTTTCTAGTGAGAGATATCGGAGTGTAACTATGAGAAATTTTACAAAGATTGGGAAAAAAATTGTGGCAATAGGAAGAAACTATACGTAAGAATTTCTTAAACTCATGAAAAGATTGAAATCCATCGGAATTTTAGGAGAATTTCGTGCTGGCCTCTTTAAATAATAGTGAACACGCCAAGGAGCTTTCCAATTCTGTACCAAAATCCCCGTTTTTCTTTTTAAAACCAACGACATCATATGTGTTGCAAGGTGGAAATGTCGAAATTCCTAAAGGATGTGTCGTGCATCATGAAGGTAGTCATATTGACTGATGATCGTGTGACTTTAATTCTGCCCGATTCATAGTATTGATCTGTCGAGATATTAATGTCAATGACATCCTATATAAAATGTAATCTAGTTGAGCTAGGCGTCGTTATTGGAAAAGATGGACGTGATATTCCTGCTTTAGAAGCTTTTAATTATATTTCTGGTATAATAGATTCGATTCACACGCTTATAATGTAGTCTCTAAAGATTTTGCTAATAATTAATAGGATATGCGCTTGGCATCGATATGACAGCTCGTAATCTCCAAGTATGTACCAAATTTTAGTTCAGATCTATTAAAGAAAATGATTACATGGAGTCTATTTTTATTTTTGAAGGATTCAGCAAAGAAAAAAGGACTTCCATGGGCGGCAGCCAAAGGATTTGATACTTTTCTTCCGATTGGGTAAGTCATGAAATATTTGAGGCAATGTAATTGTATATTATGCTTATTCAATATTAATTAATATATCAAAGAGACTTCATCCCTAAAGGGGAGATAATAAATCCATCAGATGTGAATTTATGGTTAAAAGTAAATAATAAATATTCAAAATACAGTCAGGCCTCGATTTAACGATGGGTCGAGGACATATAGTGAAAATTGAAAAAATGTCGCTATTTCAAGAAATTTGTACGCTTATGGAAAGGATTTCTGAGTGATGTCGTTAGACATTAATTAGTGATCGTTTAATTGCATGGTCACTAAATCGAGGTCTGATTGTGTGGATACTCGCACCTTATTTAACTCAGATTTTTATTTAAAAGCATTTTATTACTATTCTCATAGCTAGACGATGTGATTAGACAAAACGGAAATACCAAAGACATGATATTTCCCATTCAGACATTAATCGAGTACATTAGCTCCATAATGAAGCTCGAAGAAGGTGATTTACTTTTGACAGGTAAAAAGTCTACAATATTGACTCTATGCAAGTAGTGTTTGTAAAAAATAATTGAATTTGTTAAATTTCTTAGGTACTCCTAAAGGAGTAGGACCTGTGAATCCAGGGCAGATTATCACCGCAGGTCTGAGTATAAATGGAAAAAATCTTTCTACGATTAAGTTTCCTACGGTTGCAAGAACTGGGCTATTTATTGCAATGGAAGAATAATTAGTTGATCAATATTGAACATAGAGTAAAATTTAGATTTGCGTATTTATCCGAACTTATATTGTAGTAATACATTCTTAGGTAAAATACCGGAATTATACTACTGCATATGATGTGAATTAAATAAATTTTATTGGACAAGGAAAAAAATAATTATTTGTAGTATTTCTCAATTGCCTCATCCAATATATCTTTAGTATCCAAGGAAGGAGGTCCCCATCCACCACCGCCAGGAGTGCAAATTATAACCCTATCTCCGGACTTTACTTCAACAGAATTTTTACCACCTAAATTAAGTACGCGTTCATCACCATTCTCGTTCTTGCGAATCAAAAGATTTAAGCCACACGCGCCATCTTTGCCACCATTTAAGCCATACGGATGAAATACTCTTCTCTCGGATAATATGCTAACTTGCAGTGGTTCACAGAATTCAAGGTCACGAATGACGCCATCTCCACCTCGATGCAGACCCGCACCTCCCGAACCTTTAGCAATTTAAATTATTAGCTTATAAATCAATATTGAATTTTTTCAAAAAATGATTTCAATTTCATTACCTCTACGCAAAGAAAATTCTCGAAGAATTATAGCATGATCATATCTCCGTTCCAAAATTTCAGGATCGGTTATTCGAGTATTTGTCATGTGCTAAACGTTAAAAATAATGTTAGTTTTTATTACATTTCGATCAAGAATTTGTTAATATGTACAGTATGAACTCCACTCTGGCCATTCCACGTAGAACCAGCTCCGCTTCCTACAAATTAAGCAATATTTTAAGGTAAAACTCGAAGTAATTTCATTTAAGTGATACAACTTTAGTAACTGACCACCAGCAATTGTTTCGTAGTAGCCCCAACCTTCCACGACTTTTTTTCCATCTTCCGATTTTCCGCCCTTGCCAAATGTTAAATTATTGCAATCTCCTTGGCTAGCAGCACATGCACCAAATGCTTTTAAAATTACATCTACAAGCCGCTGTGAAGTCAACACATTGCCACCTACTACGGCAGCCTTATCAGATGGATTAAGGAATGATTTAGGTGGGATTCGTACATCGATGGGCGTCAAACAGCCTTGGTTTAATGGAATGTCTTCAGCGATAAGACAACGTAGACAATAAATAATAGCACTATAGGTCACCTAATAATCAAGATAAACATATTACTAGAGTTGAACGCAAAGCTCTAATATGAGAAAAAGTTAATAACTTACTGAGGGAGGAGCATTCGTATTGCCTAAGAATTAATCAAAAGAATTCAATAATTAAATAATGTAATTAGGATGTTTTCTTTATACATTTAGATATCTTACTATAAACTTCTGGCCCTGTTCCATGAAAATCAAATATTGCCGATCCTTCATTTTCGTTAATACTAATTTGAAGCCGAATAGGGGTGCCATCATCCATATAATCAACAGCTTCCAATTTTTCGCCGTCCATACGTCGATGGACAGCCTTAAGCAATTCGCGTACGGATAATTCGGCATTCTTGCGAATATACATCATGTAAGCTTGCACGACATCTAGCCCACATTCCTGGATTAATGCTTTAGCAAGCAGAATTCCTTTATGATTGGCGGCTACTTGTGCTTTTAGATCAGAAACATTATCACGTAAACATCGTGACCCACTACATCCAGGATATTTTGCGGGCTGATGCAATAGGATATCCGTTAGCCCATCAATGTCGAATTTCCCTTTTGAGACCAGTTTAAAAGATTTGATAGCAGCGCCTTCTTGATATAGCTCTTTAGAATGAGGAGGCATAGAACCTAAAAAATTTAATAGATTGAATTCATAAAAACTAAGGTTCATTATAATAAATTTCATAATCTCAGTGAAAATAAAACTACCAGGTAGAATCCCGCCAATATCAGCATGATGTCCTCGAGACGCAACAAAAAATACAATTTTTCCTTCGTTGAATACTGGAGTTATCACCGAAATATCTTATGAATAAGAAATTAAGAATTAGTCTATCATTTAAATAAACATGATACACTTAATATCTATTAACCTGGTAAATGTGATCCGCCAGCTTGAGGATGATTGGTTAGAATAACATCGCCGTCTTCCAAATCACCTTTATAATACTCCATTTGAAATTTAACAGCATAACTTAGACTACCCAAATGTACCGGTATATGCGGCGCTGGATTAAAAAAAGCATATATAGCATCATTGAAATTCTTCTTTAAATTTCTTAGATAACAACTAGTGGACTAAGTCCAGTTTGAAAAGCCTCAGCTAGACCAATGCATCAAGTCCAATTTTTTGCCAAACTTGTTAAACATGTGATTCAATTTTAATTGGCTTATGGTGCTGCACACCTAACTTATCAACCAATTTTATGTTCTAAATTCTGTAAACTTCTTAACTAGGAAATTTAATCCGATAGAATTATAAAATAGGCCTTTCTTGATGATTCTACTGGGTTAAATTTTGTATTTAAGTTTATAGAATTTAGAACATAAAATTTCTTGATTAGTATAGGTACGCCACAATAACAATGGTCTACTTAACTGGACTCGTCCATTACATTCAGTGCTGATCTTGGTTACTGGACATGTCCAGTTTTTTAAGTCCAGCAGACCTAGTCCGTTGGACTCCAGTCCAAAAATGTCTACTAGATTGTTCCAATCCAGTGCTCAACACTAATTTCTTTGCTGACCAACACTGATAAAACATACCATTAGCCACTAGTCCTCCATCGGGCCCAAATAGTGCACAAGAAAAATCTAGACGTTCTTTTATGTTTGTAGATATGGCAGTTTTTTGTAAGGTTCGTCCCATTTGCTCAGCAATGCTCATGAATCTATGTCCAAATATGGAAAGTTGAATTGGGTCTAATTCAGTGGTCACCTTTAGCCTCGTCCCATCTCCAGCAGTTATCACAATATGTGAGGAGGTTATCAGTGCATTGCATTCAGGATTGACAATAATCGTGGAATTAGCATCAATAATCATTGCTGGTCCAGAAACCTTATCCTTAATTTTAAGATTTTCTAAGAGATAAATAGGAGTTTCGATCCTTCCTCTTTCAAAATAGACCGACTCTGTTCCACTAGATTGTGATTTCTCAACTGGCTTAGGCAAAAGTTTTTGAGATTCTTCAAAAACATTTTTATTTACAGTTCCAAAACTGTTGCCAATACCACGAATTCTAATATCGTCCACGAAAATCTCTCGATCAGGGAAATTAAAGCCAAATTCTTGTCGATATTGCTCTGCAAATTCTTTATCAAAATCCCATGAATTTTGCGGCTTTAAAGTCATGAGCCCGAAATCAGTGCCTTGATATCGTAAATTTAAATAAGTCTCAAAGAGTATATGAGAATCATCGAATCCTTGCGATTTCAGTTCTTTAGAGCAAGTATCCATCAATATTCTTATTCTTTCCTGGAGATGCGGGAGAGATTTATTGGAAAAAATTTCAGCACAGGGTTCTTGAGTTTCATGAACTACATCTGCTAAGGAGAGTCCATATGCTGATAATATAGAACTATGACGATGAATTAAAATCTTTTTTATGCCAAGATTATACGCAATCGCACATGCATGCTGACCACCGGCACCACCAAAACATGCAAGAATATGGTTTGAAGTATCGTATCCTTTGGCCTCTGTTAAGCTACGTATAGGACGACACATTTTTTCATTTGCGACTTTAATGAACCTACAAAATAGAAAGTCTTCAGATTATTAGCAATTTAGCTGGCTAAGTTTGGGCTCGATAAATTATATCATATTTTAAAACTTGCCCAAATGCAATCTCTTCCACACTCATTTCCTTGTCTTGACCAACAAAAGCATTGATTTCTTTGGCCAATTCTTCAAAACGTTGTCGAGTAACCTCAATATCCAAAGGCAAATCTTCGTTTGGCCCAAAAATCTTTGGAAAATATTTAGGTATCAGTCGGCCAAGAATGAGATTTGCGTCGGTGACAGTAAGGGGTCCATTTTTTCTATAGATAGCCGTATGTAAGTAAAAGATAGCCTTAAAAACATCCTGAGATAAAAATTCTCAAAAAGCATGCGAACCTGTAGCAAGCAGGCCCGGGATGAGCACCCGCACTCTGATATATAATAAAAGATTGTGATTAATCAATTGTAGCAACCTGAAATTGACTCGATATATAGAATTTACCTCTGGTCCGACCACAAACATTCCATTACGGAAAAATAAGCATGATCCACCTCCAGCAGCTACCTTAATTACATGCAGGTTGGTAGTAGAAATTTCGTTTTCTGTTTTTAACTTTACTGAAAAGACTTACGGTATTTATAGCTAATTGTGGTGCTTGAATAGTCATACCGGCTGTTGTGGTTTCAAATACATGCTCAAAACGTCCATCGTAGCGTGAAACATCTAAATAAAAAAAAAACATAAATTCATTAACTCAAGCAAATTTATGTCACGGACACGTGAGTTCATACTTACCAGTACTTGTTCCGCCCATATCAAAACCAATTACCGGAGTTTTTTCTTTGTGAGAATAAGAGGTCAAACCGTATCCTATTATTTTAGGAAACGAGATTAAAATATTAATCGACTACAAGTCACTCTCGCTATAGTGAAGACTATTTAAACTCTCGATGTAGTGAGATTGAGCTCAAAAAACTATCTATAATAAATCTGCTAGATATAGTGAATGTGAATTCTTGGAAATTTTTTACTACTAACCCGAACACCTTCACTATATACTAATAATAGACACGAACCTACAACCCCAGCAGCTGGGCCTGATAATATTGCTCTAAATCCTGAAAATTTATTAACCGGCACAAGGCCACCATCACTTTGCATAAACTCTAATCTCGTGTTTTCAAATAAGTTTTTGTCAAATCCTGAGACAAATCCTTCAATATATTTTTTGATGCAAGGAGTCAAATATGCGTCTGCAGTTGACGAGGTTCCACGTGGGACTATTTTAATCATCGGCATTATGGCGGAAGAAAGTGATATATGAGTGAAACCAATTTCAGACGCGACTTGCTCAATTAGCCGTTCATGTTCTATAATCAAATCGAGTTAATGTTGCAATAGTAATATGAAAATTTAACACCAATTTTGTAAATGATAAACCTGAATAAGTATAAGAGTGCATTAAACATATTGCAACACTTCTAATTCCTTCCGCATACAGAGCTTCTAAGTCACGTCTGATGATATCCAAAGCTTTACGATAATGTGAGCAAGGAACGATTAACTTTTACACTTATTAATCAAGTATAAAAACTCAACTTCATTTTTCACCTGGCTTTTTAATAATGCTAACATATTCCCCCGAAATACCCTGCAGAATCCCTAGGGAAATGTGATTTTGAGGTTCATCTAAAGGATAAGCATGATCGACCAATATGACTCTGTTAATATCCAAAGAAAATTAATTAAATATAAAGCCACCGATTGCTTTTAAATCATGGCATTATTTACCGTTCGTCAACCTCAATGACCCTTTTATATAAAACTTCGAGTTTTCGAATAGCAAGATCGAAAATTTTTGGACGTGATTGATTTCCTAAGTTTATTCCGAAGAATTAGGTATTTTGTTTCCTTTTTCCACTTTTTCATTTACAAAACGAGAAAATATCTTACCAATTATAAGAAGATCCTAATTCGAAAATTGAATAATACGCAAATTTGAATTAATGATGATCTTTAAGGATACCTTGCGCAGAAAAATAAATTAGCGTGCCTTAAAACCTTTAGTGATCAAAAGAGCACAAGGTTCGCCTTTTCTTTCCAAAAGCGCATTAGTGGCAACTGTAGTACCCATACGAATAGATTCTGTGGATATCATTTTGATATTAATAAACAACCTGTTGGATATACAAGCTTAGTTTTTTATTTTTATATTCTATTACCTATTTGGGAAGTATCAACGGGTTGGTTTCTTGGGTGAGGTTTCCCTGTTACATGTTCCAAGATTCTTCTAATACCTTCCCGTGGCGCGTCGGGATAGTTGTGAGGGTCTACACTCAACAATTTTATAACAACCTCACGCCTTCCATTTGGGTATTGTTCAGAAACAGGAACGGGAATGGTTCCAAAACAGTCAGTAAATGTCCCACCCCTATCAATACTTATCCTAATTCCTTCGCGTCGTCTATCCGCCATTTTGATTCAATATTTCTACACAGTATGGATACTATATAATTAATTTCACCGGATTTCTTAACGTTAATAAATCTTGATAAACTAAATCTTGATAATAAACCGGATTTTAGGAATTTAGTTCTAATGACCGACCGCTTTATCGATTAACAGATCATTTTTAAAACATTTTTTAGATAATTATAAATCATGAGTTCTTTGCAAGAACTTGTAATTGAGCTTAGCAAAGCTATGCATATTTGTATGGATCAAATTATACCCAAAATCCCGCCAAATGAAATTTCTGAAAGTGTCGAAGATGATGACGAACGGATGATTGACCTTCAGTTACATCGTTACCTTGAAGAAGACCAAGAACAACCCTCACAAGGTTAACTTTATGGTTAGGACATGATAAGAAATTAAAATTATGATGATAGTTTTCTAATTACAAACTGGTCGTTTCTATTTTTTATTACAAATTCCCCACAAAACGACAAAAAGCCATTGAAATCCAGATGCACAACTATTTCCAAATAGCAAAGCAATTACAAATAAAGCTTGAGAGGATAGTTTACTATGAGAGAAATAAAGATGAGCGCGCATTAAAAGATGTATGTAGTAATGAAAAATCCTTAAGATGAAGTTATATTTATTTTTTTGTTTTTCATAGGAAATTGCGTGTCTTGAACAAGAAGTCGAAAGAAAACGAAAGGTACTAACTAAATACACCGTGTTAATGCAAAAATGGTCAAGGGAATTTGTCAAGCTTGACGAAGAATGTGATACTCCATTGCCAAATTTGTATCAATGATGCCAAAGTTAACTATGTACCTCATTATCTAGCAAAGTCACATTATCACAATTCTTCATTGTGATTGGACTCTCGTTTTCGAGATATGGATAATTTTAAGCATCTTTGGAATAATAAAAAACTTCAAGGTTTTCCACATATAATTTTCTTGCTTTTACTATTGCAAATTTAACAACATAACTTTTGTTTTATAAAGGTTAATGTTAAAGGTTGAGTTAGGGTCAAGGCTAGAGTTAAAGACTGTGTAAAATTGCTTTTCCGACATTTCGCGTTTTTATTTTCTTGTGTCGTATTTGTTTTGCCAGAAAATAATACTATCTAACTCATTTGTATTTGAAATGTTCACGATCACGTGCCCGTGAATTAACACATCGGGAAGTCTACGGACAGTGCATAGGGACAGTGCAAAATCATGTGATCTTTCCGGTCCAGTGTCGGACAGTACTT